AATTTTGAAAAGCCATATAATAAACGAGGTTATTATCCATAAGATAGGCGAACTTTAGACTTTGCTAATGCTTTCCTTTCCTTTCCTTTCCTCAGGTGTGAATAGCTGGGCGGAATTAGTACCAACGCCCTGGGCTAACGCATGTAATAGCGCACCGCGCCGTTGGCTCGGGAATAATATAATTATGCAATAACTACCACAATGATAATATTAATATGCGGTGACTCCAACATTGGAGGACTTACTACATTCAGCAAACTGAGAAAGATTCTTCCAGGTGATAGGGATCCCGACCAGAGAACACGAGGTGGAATAAGCATCAAATTCTTCACATAGGCATGAAGTAGGGTGATTATTGCATGCACAAACATCAAATTCACAATCGTTAATAAACCCAGCATCCTGCACGACTGAATTATGACATACGGCAAATGGTTGCTGCTTCAGTAACTGACACTTCTTCTTGGCCACCCGAGCAACATTACCAGCAGTTAAACATGGATCCTTAAGTGGTGGCTCATTTGGGCAACTTCGGCCAACTTTCCAAGAATTTCCAAATTCGTTGACATTTGCGGTTCGTTTCATATCTACTTTGATAAATTCATCATCCGCGTTCCCATTGTAGTTTCCACAGAGTCCAGCTAGTCTGTTCATATGTCTTGCCTTCGCAGTCACAAAAACGTTTGAAAAGCCATTGTACAGGACTTTTAAACCTACGTCAGCTGTGATCTGAAGTTTACGTGTTTTATCTTTCACTATATTCACACCTAGCAAAATTTTCAAAAGCACAAAGTAAGTCGGCCGCACTTAGGCTGTCAGAAGCTCACATCTCCGACAGCTGGCAGGTTAGAAATAAAGGGTGTATCAAAAACAGGTAATCCAGCTTAGATTGCTCGTCCACGTGCACACATGTGATCGTTCACAGTAGCAAAGCTTAGGGCTTCATCTTACGAATGACACCCTTTTGTAAAATTTTAAGCAAGAATGGCCAAAATTAGGCATTGAAATTTGCCCATTAAAAGTACATTATTCCACCTATATGTGAATTATTAAAGCAATGCAGAAGAAAAAAAAATCAGTCTCTGTGTCATGCCAAATAACTTGAAACAGAAGTGACTAGGTGTTAGGGCTTTTCAAATTAAAATTCATGAATTATAGGCCTGGTTCAAGCGTTTCGCATGCACTGAATTGAATTTGGCTTGGGTGTTGCCTAGATCGAATAATGAAAGCTTGAGACATTAAGACATAAAAAAACTACGTTATAAGAATATTATGGTTAAAATAGGCAGAATTGAAAGCATTTATTAAGAATACACCGAAGAACCTTCAAATAACATTGTTCAGGGGATGAAAGTATGAAAGCATATCCTAATTGACGATCTGATGAATCTATTACAAAAAAATGCAAGAGTGCCTTATGGTACTGTACTTCGGAATTTAACGAAGTCGTCAGAATATTTTAACCCTAAATTTGTCGAAAAATTGAATTATCTAAAGATTAATCTTTTTCTGAAGTGTCAACATGTGACATTTCAATAACATTACACCACGTCTCCAAAGCCACGCCCAACCAAATTATATTTGACACATGCAAAATGCGTCGTCTAAGACCACGACCCACTTTCCTCACATTATTTGGTCGAATTTAAAGTTACGGTCGACCGTAGTTTATTATGTGGGGAGGTCGCCAAATTTTTTCTGGACAAACAAAAATTTTCCTGGACATATCGTAACTTTTCCAGACACACGAAAATGTTTCCGGACATATCCTAATTTGTTAACTTTTTACGTGATCTTAGTAAATTTTGCAAAATATTTGCTATAAATATTACTTTTTATTCCGAGGCACTTTAATATTTTCGCTGACCACGAAACAATTTGCCGGTATATCCGAAAAATACTTGCCGAATCAGATATTTTCCGAGTCTAGCAAATAATTGGCGAGTCCGTGATGAATGAAGGAGGGGCGTGTTACATCCCCTCACATCCCCTCTAGTTACGCCCCTGGAAGTATGTATGAAGATGTAGGCCCACTATGTTGTTTTTTCGTCGTTTGCATGTGCAAAGAAAATGTTAGATTATACTGGTCGATTATTTTCTGAAGATTTTTAATTCTATGATCAACAAGTTTTTTGAAAAAAAACCTGGTGTATTTCGTTGTTTTTGAACAAGTGAATTTTATCGCATCATATGGACGAAAACGCAAAAGCTATTTAAATATTTTAGCCACGAGTTCGTAAACTGTAATCAATTTATATTTTTTTTAATGTAAATTATTATTGTATGTTATTGTTACCTTGGTTATTGTATGGTAGTGTTACAGCTGCACCAAACACTGTCAGAGATCCTCCTTTCTTCATTTCAATCCTCAGACCTTTCACTGATACAGTCACAGCTACAACGCAACTCTCTCGGCCACTGCATCGTTCGTTTTTGGTCAAAACCAAAAATGAGTTGTCTAGATCTTTTGCCAATACATACTGGCATATACCCATGAAAGGGTACCTTTTCCTGTCAAATGTTCGGTAATGTGGGTCCCCTGTGGCGCTACACACCGCTTCGTCTGCAACAAGAATATCATATTGATATATATTAGCAACTATGCGTTTTCATCTCACTATGTTTGGAAACCGTGCTCGAATTTTACATGTAAAGTGACGTTTTCAAACAGTTTCGCTCCGGCGCTGTTGTCCAATTTTGACTTTTTTCATGCGCAATTTATAATCGCTTTGGTGTGAAGCGAAATTTCTGGTCTCTGCAAAATACCTCATTTCTGTCAACCATGCCAGTCTCTACATTTACAAAAGACCGTTTTCCTTGGATCATTTTTGGTTATGTAATTTTATGTGCGTTGGATGTACACAATATATCTTGTCTACAACTTTCGGATGGTACCGATATCGCTCTCTAAAATCTTCAGCTCTATCTCTACAAAATCACAAGGAAGTTAATGTTAAGTCTTTGGACCATGTCTCTGGGCTGAGAAATAATTCCTTACATGGCATAAATGTTTAACACAAGGATGTAAAACGGCAATCTTATATGTTATGGATCACCATTAAAATTTCCTACACAGTTTCTGAGACGTAACTTAAGAGGTAACTTATCATTGCACTTGAACTATTACATAAGCAGGTGTTATGCTGTGCGTTAAGCGAATATTATTGAAAAGAGGGCTTTCGTGTACTTTGAAATCACCAAATAAACAGCTTATTTACACATTTCTCCACTTCGTCGTAAGTTTAAAGAACAGCTTTTATACTTTGGCACTGATCTTTGTCTTTAATTTCAAACATTTGTTCTTCTAGTTTGAGGCCATTTAATCCTGTCGTAAGTCTTCTAGCAGCAACCCATCGACAATATTTCATTTTAGCGTTGTCTTTGCCGTTACGTTGGCTTCGAGCTACTTTTGTTTTAAACCCCTTGGTGCAGGTCGCGTTAAAGAGACTTAGTTTCAGGCCAGAGACATAGCCAAAAACTGCCAAAAATAGCATTATATAATTAACGTCATTGTGATTTTATAGAGATATCGCTAGATCTGAGGATTTTGGAAAGCGTTATCTGTATACCTTCTCAAAGTGGTAGACAAGATATGTTGTTTACGTCCAACGCGCATATAAGATTACATAACTCAAAATAATTCGAACAAAACGATCTTGTGTTAAAAGAAAGACTGGTTAACAGCAATTGGTCCTTTTGAGTGACATAGTCTTGTGTCGTCATCGATCCGCGTTCTTGAACAATGAAAAAATTGTCTACGGAACGGGTCTACGGAACGGAATATTTTTGGATTTGAACTTAGCGTGCTTGAAAGTGTTAGCTCCCGTAAAAATATTTCAGATCCAAGATATGGTGAATGAAAATGAATTATATTGGGACGCAGACGACGGCCTAAAGGAGGAAGGGAGACCAGTGTTGATAAACTTCAATAATAGTTAATTAATAGAATAGATAGTTTGGAAACTCGTTAGAATAACAATATAACTCATTATCTATGTTAATCTGTCACAGTCACGAACGTATGGTATAGCCCAACTAACCATGCAATAGCAATGTTTTAGGAATGTTACCTATCCGTGACTCGAACAATAAGGTAATTGGAAATTGCTATTGCTGGATTTGGCGAAAATACAATACGCACGAGACGGTGAAGGAACATGTTTATGAATAAACGTTGACTAACATAGATAATGAGTTACAGTATATTGTTATATCAATAAGTTTCCAAGCCATCAATTCTATTAATATTAACTATGCTTCTGTTCAAACAATTTTCATGCTTTCCCAGCGATGGCTAGAAATTGTAAAAACCTCTTCCACTATGGGACAACATCACAGTAGATTTGTGGTATCCATACCAATATGGCCGCCATTGGCTTTATTTATGCACAGCGGATGCATAATGCAGTGCCAGTTTTCAGATCAATGTGCTAATATTGTATCACTGTGTCGCATACACGATCACATCAATTATCTCAAAATTATGGCAGAATGTCATTGAGTGGAATACAGTAAGCAAGATTTAGAAAATACACATGACAAAGTTGCTTTATATGTGGCTGTGAAGCAAACTTCCTTGCTTTTACGTTGGGTAAAATGTGAATATAGGCCTAAATCAGCCAAAACATGATGAGAAAGCGGCAAATAGGGCAAGTAGTATTAGGCAAAAGACAATGTAAGTTTGTCTTAAATTGTTCGTATCTTTGTTGTAAGTATGTATGCTGATAGCTGTAAAAGAGCATCTGACATATCTCCAGTACCGGACTTCGATCTGTAACATGTGTTAGTCTATAATAAATATGCAGTGTGACTCACCTTCAGTCTGGCATCTACCACCGCGGTAACCAGAAGCACATGTACATTTATAACCTTTACCAACATTCTCACAAATACCACCATTCATACATGGCGCGACTGCACACGGAGAGACTGGGGAAAAAAACAATACATATTTCAAATCCGTAAATAAAACTGACTAGGATTCATTCTCGAACGGATTGAGACAGACACAACTATCTAATTCTGAAAAATACAAGCAGAACTTCGACGTTTCGAACAAAGGGTTAGACGTTTTACAGGTAGTTGTATTTCTCTCAATCCACAGCCGTCCTGAATTGGGGCTATCTTGTCTTAAAATAAATTCAGGAATAATAGGAATTTGTTGAAATTAAAGGGGCTCTACAGTCATTTTTTAGTCGACAAGCCACCTTAAGTAGGGGACTTCAGGGAGATTCGTTTGGCTGTATCTTACATGCAGTATCCATGAGTGGTGCGCATGTCAAGTAGCGACAATAACAAAAATGTAAACAACGGCTTTTCGACTAAAAAATGACTGTTGGGACCTTTTAAGGAGAAGTATTCTTGGCATTTTGCAGCTTCTATACAGGCCAAGCAGATAGTGAATTTTAGCTTAAGTTTGCCGTACATCCATTGTTAATGAAAAAGCATTTAATTTAAGGACCGCTATAGTAACATATTGAACAAATATTTTTGCTCGCTTTCGTCTTGGGATATTCAGTAGCAGTTCGCATTATTGCTTTCCGACCGCTCAAGGACCAGTCAAAATGCTGCATTCTACTGATCGACAGCCGCACAGTCTTATACTAAACAGCAGGTACTGTGCTTACCACATTCCTTAAACTGTGGTAAATGCTTCCACTGGAAATTCACCCCGACCAACGAACAAGTGTCGGCGTAAGCTGAATACTCCTCGCATAAACATGACAACGGATGATCCTTGCATGCGCAGACATCATATGCACAATCCAGTATAAAAGTGTCCACTTTAACATGGTTATGACATGCCAAAAATGGTTGTTGTCTCATTAACGAACATTTCGCTTTCGCCTCTTGAGTATTCGCACCAGCAGTCGTACAGGGATTAGGTAAAGGAGGCGCTTCCGGGCAGGATCGATCAACTTTCCACGAGTCGGCAAAAATTTTGTCGCTGCGAGCAATCTGCTTGTCAGGCATAATGAACTCATCATTTATTCGACCATTGAAATTACCACAGAGACCAATAGTCTTTCCTCGGTATCGACGGTTTAGAATAATATAGACATTATATACTCCGTCGTACTTTACTGTAAAACCGATATCGGTTGATATTCGTATTGTACGAGCTCCGTTTTTCACAATGTTGACACCTAGGTGGAAATGTTAACAATTGTTATATAGCTTGGGTGAACACCAAACGTAATTAGCTGATCTGTGGTCACGTAGCTTTTGATAAATGGAATGTATCATGTAGAAGATTGTTGCCCGCACCGATCCGGCCATAAATAAACAAAATGGCGGCGGTACTCCCAAGTTTATAAACTTTTTAAAACAATTTTAATTTCCAAGTTCGTTTTAAAGGTAATTGGCAATATATATTTTTATTTTCTCATTTAAAAGAACGTTTGAAACTATTTAATAACTTCTTTTACTGATTCTTCATAACTTGCTTAGTTCTCGAAATATTTTCACTTGAAGTAATGAGATGTCAGCCATCTTGGATAAATTTTTGATCTCATTAACGGTAGTTTTGGTGACGTCACAACAAGGATTAATCATTCCTAGAAGTTACTATCACAAGGAAAGTGCTGCCTCATCCCGCCTTCCATCATATAAGAAGCACGTAAAGCACCCCTAAGACACCTGTTCAGGAAGTAGGAAATTAAAAGTGCAATTTGAAAACGAAAACACCTTTCACAAAGTCGAGGGTCAGCTAAATATTCTAATTTTACTTTCTTGCCATGGTTTTATACATTCAATGCTTATAATTTCTTGGTTCTGTATGTGTAATTATAAGTGGCAAAGACTGTTGGTGGTAAAGCTATAGCCATAGCACCAGGTTATGCTATGCAAGTTTTTAATATGATGTTTGTGATGTTACTCTGAGTGTATAGCCAAAGCGGGAAAGCTTGCCTGGCCACGGTGGGAATCGAATTATATGCCTGGCCACGGTGGGAATCGAACCTACGACCATTGGAATACTAGCCCAATGCTCTGCCAAGGCCTGGCATATTTTTCAAGCTTGCACGATGTGGATATACACTAAGAGTAACATCACAAACATCATATTCACCTGAGTACATAACACCAACAAAGAAAAAAATTCAAGTTTTTAAGAATTTGCATTATTCAAATAGATGCAGGTTTATTAGCACAGCATGAACAGTTGTCATGGTATCTTACCACTGAATACTGTACAATATCATATATACAAATAATAATAATACTTGAATGAATTATTGGATATATGTAGAATTTAATTAAAAACAATTTCATACATAGAAATACTACCGGTAAGTCGGTTTTGTCCCAGTTATCGTTTTAATGGCACCTTTAAGGCTACCCCTACCGCAGAACAACTGAAAAATCTGCTGATGGGGAAACAAAATCTATTTTGTTGACATTTATGTTTAATATGTCAGCTTCAGATGATACCATTCTTTGTGTAAATTATTAAGATTGTACTGCAAAACTATATAATAAGAAAGAAATTGTGAGCATTATTGAAAACAAGTCAGATAATTTTTCACTCGTATACAATTGTGTGTTACAATGAGAGCATCATACTGCTCAACTGACCCTGTGCATAATGGCGTCATAACGCTTGAAGGCCGCGAGGAATGCTGGTCTTAGTAGTCATCGCCCGGAAAAATTAAACAATTCAAAATGGCCACTGTCGAAATTTTCCCGGGTGATGACTACTAAGACCAGCATTCCTCGCAGACATCAAGCCTTGAGACGTCATTATGCGTATGGTATATTCAGAGGAGGAGTGAGGACTATACCAGCATGCAACGCGATCAGGCGCGGTTTATTACATATTATTGATTTCTCGCTCTGCGCCGTCATTGTTCGGTCGACTTTCGCTGCGTTTACACCTCTGCGTTTACACCACGAGGTTACGAGAGATTCAGAAACGATTTTATAGAAAAAAATTGTAAAATGGTCAATTTTCGCACTATTCGTGGAAAGAAAGCTTCGTTTTTGGGTGGACACGGGCTTCTGTTTGTTCACTCAACTTCAATGTGCGTCAAAACAGCCTTTAATCTTGATTCCGAAAGGATTACCGTGTGATGAACTTGAATGCCGTGAGGCTCATGTTTATAGAATTACGGAAAGTTTGAAGAATAGTCCTTTATCCAGCTGTGGTTAACGGGAAAATGTTGTAATTGTTCACTGATTGCGGTAGTCCTGCACTAATTCATATTCACTCTAGTTGTGTTTTTAAGGTATATTGAAGATTTATATATTAGAAATATAAAAATGCCCTCATACTGTATAATTTATAAGTTATATAAAATGCAGTCATCTATGATGTGATTTATATATTTTACTTAAATTTGTTGTAATACAGCAGTATTAAATGTATTTTTATTTTATATCATGTAGTTTTTCCATTTCTTTGACCCTAATAATCCACGGGAAGGAGGTAACGAAGTATTTAACAATGATATGTTGTGGGAATTTGATATTTCAACATCGCCAACATCCCAGGTCATCCCACCATGTGACCAGTTAGTAAAGATAATGACCTGAACAGTGTACTTCCACCAGTAGATTTACATCAGCCAACTGATTGTACTTGTTTTCATTTACCAATAAATCCTGTTTGCCTTGACGGACATTCGTACACACTGAATGATGGAAGAAGCGCCCAGAAGTAGCAGTGTGCTATATATATATATATATATATATATATATATATATATATATATATATATATATATATATATATATATATATATATATATATATATATATACGAAGGTCATTGCGTGTCTATAGATGTGTACCAAGCTGCACTGATGAGGCGTAGGACGCCGAAACATGCATGTCTGCAGATTGTACTATTACGCTCCTCCTCTTCGGTGTTGTAGAGCACTCTGTGGAGTTAATTGGGTGTCCATTAGCAATAATGCAAAGCTCATTTCCCTCGTGGTTGTTTGAGCACTCTGGCCCCATGTCACTCTGCGCATGTCTGGATGCGTCGATGGCTCGTGTTGTACCACATGCGCTTGGGAGAGCAAGTGTCATGTATATCAATACGAAGGTCATTGCGTGTCTAGATGTGTACCAAGCTGCACTGATGAGGCGTAGGACGCCGAAACATGCATGTCTGCAGATTGTACTATTACGCTCCTTCACTTCGGTGTTGTAGAGCACTCTGTGGAGTTAATTGGGTGTCCATTAGCAATAATGCAAAGCTCACTTCCCTCGTGGTTGTTTGAGCACTCTGGCCCCATGTCACTCTGCGCATGTCTAGATGCGTTGATGGCTCGTGTTGTACCACATTCGCTTGGGAGAGCAAGTGTCATGTATATCAATACGAAGGTCATTGCGTGTCTAGATGTGTACCAAGCTGCACTGATGAGGCGTAGGACGCCGAAACATGCATGTCTGCAGATTGTACTATATATATATATATATATATATATATATATATATATATATATATATATATATATATATATATATATATATATATATATATATATATATATATATATATATATATATATATGATAGGAAGTAAAATAAATACATATTTTATGTCTCTCAGGTAATATATAAAAGATGGAGTTCTCCGAGAGCAATATCACATACGTACCCTTTTCTAGATATTACATATTGTTGGATAATTGAAACATAACAGGTAACATTTCATGTGGCGTCACCTTAAATAAGCGTACGAATGTGTGTGTGTATTCCTTCCTTTAAGTGCCCATCCAGGGTCACAAGGCCTGGACATTTGCTTCGGTAAATGAGCTCACGAGTGGAGGAATGCTATCGTATGTTAATCTTTGTTTTTAATTTTGCATATATCTAGAAAAGGGTACGTATGTGATATTGCTCTCGGAGAACTCCATCCTTTATATATATATATATATATATATATATATATATATATATATATATATATATATATATATATATATATATTATATATATATATATATAAACATACTGTAAAGTGGTTGTTGATTCTATTGAGTGTAGGGTTAAGGATACGGCACATATGCTTCAAATAGTGGATGAGCTTAATGACACCGGCATATTAGAAAGTGATTTATTTTTCCACAAAGAGAGACAAATTCTCGGTGGGGGTCCCAGAACCTGAGGTAATCACTCTATCAGGGTTGTTGGCTTTATGTGTTTTAATAAGTGGGTAATTTATTCCAGGATGAACAAATTCAAATAATAGTGGATGAGCTTAATGACACCGGCATATTAGAAAGTGATTTATTAATAAGTTTTGATATCGTGAATATGTTTCCATCTATTATTAATAAAACCGGAGTGGAACGGCTGCGTAAAAAGCTCACACAATTTTCGCAAAAATTTGAAGTGCCTGTGGAATGTATAATTGAGGCCTTGGAGATGTGCCTCTATAAGAATTTATTCCACATATCAGAGACAATATTGGCTATAAACAGATGGTACTGCAATGGGTCCTAAGAATTCTTGCTCATATGCAGATATTGTCGCTGAATGTGTTGATTTAAGAGTTATAGAATCTAAAATAAATTTTCCAGAATTGCGGGTTTGGTTTCGTTTTAGAGATGACACATTTGTGCTTTGGAGAGGTACAGTACAAAGGCTTAATACCTTTTTTACTGCCCTCAATTCTTTTGATCAAAACTTACAATTTACATGGACATCGGTGGAAAGTCTTTGAATTTTTTAGATTTATCTATTACCAATCAGGGTAATTGTTTAGTTACATCGGTGTATAGTAAGCCCACAGATGCCCATGTATATTTAAATGCCAAATCGTGTCATCCAAAGTCCCAGATAATGGGGATAGCAAAAGGAGTAGCGTTAAGAATACGGAGAATATGTTCGGATGAGGATGATTTTCATAACAAATGTAATGAGTATGCTAATTATTTGATAGCCAGTGGGCATGATAAACAGCATGTTAAAAATATATTTGAGGAGGTTGCAGCCATTAGTAGGCATGAAGCCAGGAAAAAAAA